ATTGAATGCGATTATCTAAAAATATATTTTAACGACAATACAATACAGTACTCGGATATAATTATTACGACGTCACACGATGTGACCGAGATAATCGCGTGCAGTGATCGTTGATTCGATTAATCAATTTTCTTTATGGTTTTTTTTTTTATTTTTTTTTTGTCGTTCAAGTAGAGCCACGCGTGAGAAAACGAAATACGATTCTGCGCGTGCGGATCGACAAGTTCGACAACCGGCTGGCGGCAGACACGCGTAAACAACATAACAATAACAATCGTATGCGTTCTCGTTAAGTCGAATACTTGAGAATTCATTTTTTTTTTTTTTTTTTTTTTTTTTTAATACGATACGCGAAATAGCTTGCCGAAGAAACCGAGTTGCTTGGGTCAACAATCCCACAATATTATACAACAATCTTTTTCGATTTGATACGATTCGAAACCGTTTTGTTAGAGCCCCGCCACGTGCCGCCAGTCGGTTTTGACAAACGAGTTAGAATGACGAAAAGTCAACAATCAGCAATTAGAATAAATAATACAAATTGCGTACCAGGCAACTATATTTTGTATAAAACATACCCTTTTTGTATACGAATAAAGAGTAAATTGCAGACGTATTTTTCGACGGGATTTTAAAACATACCGGTGAATGACGGCGATTACACCTGACATATAATCCGCCATAATCATTAACTGTAACAGTCGCAATGCGGCGATTCCATACACGAGCAGATTTCACAACGGAGTTGATCTTTCAAAGAGCAAATCTGTAAAAAAAAAAAAACCTGTCTTATAGATTAATGAGGACGGGTGCAGCCACTGTTGTAGGTGGAAATTCGGGAAGATAGGATACAGACGGGAATTTAATGTAAGCATTGATAAGCCATTGCTAACGAAAAAACGATTCTGAGTGGAGTTCTGTTAATAGTGATGCTTTGTCAACTATACATATATATATGTCATATTGTGGTAAAATAATTAAATGGACATAATATATTTTCTTTAATCATATTTGTTTAATATTGTACAGATTTTCCCGTTTTTCCTACGTTTTTCCTGGTTTTCCCATGTTTTTCCCGGTCAGATTTCCTTTCAGAAAAAATGCTATTAGTGTAAATCAGATTATAGTGACTAGTAGAAAAGCTGTCCATAGGAAAAATATCGTAATATTTTACTAATATATTTCGTACATTTTCCCGTTTTCCCTCTGTGTTTTTCACATTTGTTGAGAAAACTCCTGAGAAAATCGAAAAATAACTTCTTTAAAGTACCTCTTCACGTCGATTTATTTTTAAAAGGTACCACAATTAAAAATCGGAACAAGATTTCTAGTAGAAAAGTTATCCACTGATAAAAAAAAAATAAACATCTTTGTAAAATCATAAACTTCTTCGCTCCACTTAGAATATAAAAAACTGTTCGCGTGTGGCCGGCTAGGCTAAATATGCTACGTGAAATTTATACATTTATAAAAAAAATCAAAAAAGGCATACTTCTCACGACGGCCACTGGAGTAGCATAGACATATAAATGAGTAGTCCAGGAATCATAGACGTTTAACATGTAACACGTTGAAGCCAGCGTGTGTGCAAGAGAGACAGACGATGTATGGTTTTTTTAAGAATTACGTTATTATCTATGGGATCAGTACGGTTTTATTTATTATCAGCCGCTATCAATGAAGAAAATAGTATGATTACACTGTAGGTACATAAATGTCTACGGATTACACTTACAACGTCTTCAGGAAAATTACACATGAACTATAAAACCATGTTAACTTCACATATTCAAAATCATTACTGGTTTACTCATTTATTTGTCCATGTGGAGTTATTAGACAGTCAAGAAGGTATCAGAATATTGAGCAATTTATACTTGCTGAAGGTGAACGAAAAGTCGTTGCTATCAAAAAAAAATATTCTGAATAGGGTTCAATAAAATCATATAATAGTTTTGATCGTGTTTCTTTTGCCTCTGTAGACAAAGTAACTCAGCGCTAAACAAAAATAAAACTAGACTTATCGTCGACTGTCGTCAGTTATGTTAAAGTACAGTGTGAACAATTCGGAAGATGTATACTTACTGAAAAATATCTTTCAATAACAAAACACTAAAATGATTTTATCAGAATCTTAATAAAAAAAAAATAAATATAATCATATATTAGTTTTAATGTTAATGATAATATACACGAGCGAGTTATACGGTTTTTCATTTTGTCGATGAAAACCGTTTTTCATTCGTTTGATTTAAAGAAATAGGTAAATTTTGTAAGTTTTTTTTACACCCTATGATGCGAGAATACATTCCTCGACTTTTCGGGTTTAGTGTTTTTTTTTCCTTTTTTTTTTTATACCTATTTTTAATTTAAGTATCTCGCCCCAGCGCCCGTTACACGTCTCGTTTTTTACGAACCTATACATGCGGATAAAACAATGACGTCGCGTATTTTTACGGGTTTTTTCGGGGTGTGGCCAAACCACCACCGCCGCCGAGTATCTGATATACTGCATCGGAAATTAACATTTATATTGGGTCCGGACGAACGGGACGATAAATATCATTATCGGGGGTGCAGTAAAAAAAAAATAATAATAAAACGAAAAATCTAAACGATTTGTCTATAGCGCGTCGGGAACGCGTACGGAAAAACGAATTAAATAATACGTTAAAAAAAAAAAGGCGAAGCAACTACGCCATAATAATAACAGCACATCGGTTAGCGAAAATTGTTTTCATCCGATTTCCGGGCCGGATGTAAAACACTCAAATGCGCGTCCCGTCGCGAAAACGCCAAAATATACTCTCGGACCGAACCGTTAAACATACGCACGCACTATTCCACCGTTTCGATGGGTACCTACACTTAACACACACGAAAACCGAAATTCGAAGGTTTTTACGTTGTTCAACTATTCATGTTATTGACGGGCAAGATTTGTTTGCGTTTTTTTTTCCACCGAAAAAACGTATATCAACAAAATCGACAAAAAAAAAAAAATAATAAATAAATAAATAAATATATATATATATTTATATACTGTTTTCCCGAATCGTTGTCAACAAGGTCTGGTAAACAAAATAGCTGCAGTGAAATAACATTTGTCTGTAAAATAATATGGGCTGCGCAGTTTCGTTAGATACAAAACGCGTGTGACGGTGGAAATGGAAAATATTCGCACAAACGCGGTGTAAAACACGAACATTTCTATAAATAATATTATATCTGTAACGAGTAATGAGAGAAGCTGATAGGAACGTTTTTATAACCTTCAGGAAAACGATTTTTAAGATTGAGGATGATAAATCAAATTTTCTACGAATTTCATTAGTTTTTTCTTTTTTAAATGTGCGCATTCCATATAACGCACTAGAAATTCAAATATTCTCTGGGAATTGGAAACGGGTTTCTGAACTTTCTCCAATTCTATGCATTTTAAAAATTATTATAGCTTTCGATGACCACTTTAAGACTTTAAGACTTTTCCACTAATCGACTGCCCGATTCCCATTTAAAAGGTAATGCCACAGCCTTTTTGTATCTCAGATTTTTATACTTCTAAGTTGGAGTAAAATTCACCCACGACCGTTTGCATAATTTAAAGTTTTAAAGCCCGAGTTAAAGAACATGACGATTTTACCATTTTTTTTTTTTTTAAATAAGCTAGTAAAAAAAGGAAAAATGTAAACATTTTTCTTACAAAACATTAAAAATAAATAGGAATAAAGTTATTTTTCAAACAAAAAACTAAACTAAACGTGGAAATATTATGTTTATTTAACTCCAGCTTATTGATCTAAATGTATAAAAAAAAAAACGAATCGCTTTTAATCCGCTCAAGTCAAAATACAGAAATTAATTTTCCAAAATAATCGAGTGAAAAATTAACATATTATTTTTGATTAACTTATCGATTTTTTTTTGATTTTTTAAGTTATGGACATTTCACGTACCGCCGCCGTCCTATGTATTAACAAATTTTGACTTATCATTTATCAGTTTTAGTCATTATTGCCCATAAATATGCGAGACACACAATCAATTTATTGCTACCGTTTAAAATATTATCCAACTATATTACATAACATGTACTTAAAACACACATATATCTTGTTGTATTTTCTATAAAACGTTTATCCGAAATACCGTTATACGACGGCGAGAGTCGGTGCGGTATAAGGGACCCCGAAAACTCTCGGACGTAAGATTTATGACGCGGAGATTTATGACGTGAGGGAACTTTTGGCGATACGACGGCGGTGTGCGTGGGCTTTTCGTTTCGAAGGGATAACCGTATTATCCGAAGCAGTGAATAAGTCTCACTCGGCAAAAACTGTGTAAATCCGTATTCGTACGACGACCGAGGCCAGACAATTACGAAACACTGAAAAGCCGCCGACGCGCCGGACGTTTTAATTTTGTCGTTACGGACGAAAGGGAACACAAGACTCGTTTTCCGGTTTGACAATAATAATTACAATTACGTCATTCGTCTTAGGCCGTTTGTCGTCTCGTTTCGTATTAATGATTCGCCGTCGTTACAGAAAATACTGTACAAATAAAATAATAATCGCTAAACGACCGAGCGACCATTTGTAAGTCGCTATTTTTAGTATTTGTCGTCGTTTTATAAGCATTTTGTCGACCTTCACTCGTCTTCAGACAAAAGAAAAATTAATATAATATAAGACATTTTCTCCAAAGGCTTTATTATTTGTAATCGTACCAACGTTGTATTCGATCTTTTGACGCGTGCGCTGCAACTGCAGGTTTCAGAAACAAAGGATGTCGAAACGAAACAAAGAGCACTGAAAATTAAAACTCCTTGTTATAAAGTGCATTAATTAAAAAAACAAAACAAAACCTACATTGTAATATAAAATTAAAATATCATCAAACGAATGGAATTTACGGCCGATGTGATCTTCCCCATCCAATATTATGGGAACGAAAAGCGAATTCCCGAGCGGAGTCCGATCTCCAATCGTTATATTACTTTACGGTTGTTGCCACGGTAGAATCACCAAAACGTCTTCGGTTCTTGTCCAAGTTGAAAACGGTATTTTCCGACGGATTCGGGCGGCAAATTCGGCCGATAAGCCCGGTGCCGAACGACGAGGGACAAAAGTACCCGCAACAGCTCTAGCGTCGTCGAATCCTTTACGACAGTACGGCGGTGGATCCGGAACAACACTATAATATAACAAATGATTTTCCGGCTGGTGAAAAATGACCAGTGTTCGAATTGAGTGGTCTCCTGGACACGTAAATTGGCTTCCGCCCCTCACCCCTTTTTACGTCCTCTTTTCTATGCGTGATATATATATATCGTTTCTTGCGTCTCTCCACCGGCGATTCGTCACAACCGCTCCAACACGCGCGCCGTTGAAGATCGTCTCGGGAACGAATACGAAACGACCGAGTTTTCCGAGTGTTCGACAATCTGCCGATGCTGAATTTTCAAATTTATTTTCGGCGACTCGTATTCAAATGATGGAATTCTTTTTCATTTCCGACCTTTATTAGATTCCGTACGTTACAAGACGGTGGTTTTCGTGGGATTTCCACTCAAAATAATTTTATTTTTATTTAATACAATAGTATATCGATGCTTCCGTCAGCTGATCTTTAACAATATGGTTTTTCGTATAATTATGACCGCTTTGTGTAAGATATTGTGGTACGATAATTATATATTTTGAATTTTTGATTAATTTTGTTGTTTTTAGGTTTTTAAAGTCTAACTGCGAAGCGTAAAAATGCATGCCTATCGCGCGTTTACAGAACAATAGTTAGGGCGAATAGAATAGATACGAAAACTGCCTCTCTAAACAGCCGCTGTACATAAATGCAAGGTATAAAAGTAAAGATTATAAGACCCTTCAGGGTGTCGAACAGATTTTCTGAGACCGTGTTTGGCCTCCCAAAAATATTCCGAAAAAAGGTTTTGTTTACGTATATATTATTATAAATGAATACAGAGGAAATCGAAATGTTCCGTCTTATCTCGTCGTATCTCGTCCCGTGTTCCCTTTTAGTGAAAAAGTTAAAAAAATTAAACAATATCGCCACCGATATTTTTTACACATATTACAATACCTAGAGCCGTTCGATAACGTAATTTAACACCGATTGACAATTCTCAAGAACTAATCATCGAAAAGATCCAATTAATCGCGAAACGTTTTTCGATTGTTACTACGTCACTATACAAGTTAAAATAGTAATAAATAAACAAAGGAGAATCAACGAATAAACCGACAGATTATAAACTTTGATACCCGAAAGTGATAAGCTGTTATTTTGAGAGTTATGCTAACCGCCAATGACAGTATCCTGTGTCTTTTATTTGATATTTCAGATTACCTAAATGCAGTACATTAATAGCGAGGCTTATTAAAAAACTAAAATGTCCATGCTTTTGTATCTAAATATAGAATATGAATATCCGATCAATCAAAATATTCGAACAGTCGAACAATCTACCTCTCAATCAGCGTCCTAATTATGGGGGAGACATTTAAATATAGAATCCCCCTCTCTAGGTCTCTTTTTTAACATTAAGATTAAATAAAATTTTGAAACTAATTTTAGGTGTTAAATATAAATATAAATATAAATTTTTTTTTTTTTTTTTATATTAAATTTGATCCAATGGGATGACCAAAATGATAATTGATCGCTAAGATTACACTGTTAAAAATGACTTGCCACTTACGCAATACAATTTCAAAAGTATACTAAGTATAATTGATAATTTCAATAGAAATAAGTAATAACTAATTATTTTATTCGTTAAAATCGATTGAATGGATTTACTATACACAGAAATGTATTGATAGATCCAGCAAGAGGACTGATGCTAAATTATAATATTTTACAAATAAAAAATTATTATGCTTGTGATAACTTTTTTTCTTTTGAAATACTTTCGCTCCTGAAAATAAGTCCTAATTAATAAGTTCCTAGACCTCCTCTATATGATTTTCGAAAAATTGTTCACCCCTCCCCACCAAACAAAAAAACCTAACCCAAATAACGCCACCGCTTAACCTGTAATTATACACCGGCATTATTACGATTAATACAATAACACGCGATCGGGTAGGTAGGTAATCGAGTTACGTGATTGTTTCGATTCCACGGGTTAAAACTACACCTGACCGGAAGGATCGATATAATAATAATGTCATACTCAGATATAAATACATATTACGTATACATATATACATATACGAGAAACGCGTTATATTTTACGTAAGTCGCGTGTGTAGGGTGCGTTTATTACGAAAGGAACAGAGAAAAAAATGCCGAAGATGACTAGAGGACAAATCCGCAGGCCCGAATATAATAATAATAATCGATCAGTATCGCGGCATACGCACGGGTCGCTTCCTTTATCCGTTCGCGTAACAACACGTCACGTTATAGGAGTTTCGTCTTTGGGGGAGGGGGGCGGTCAGGGACGTTCTTAGAATTTTCGAAGCCCGGGGTGAAACCGAACTCATAAATTTCTATTTACAAGTGCATTCTAAATGGCAACTTTTTTTTTTTATCGTAATTACATACGCATATTTGTTGAATTAAAATTAATAAAATTTTAAATTGGTAGGCGATTTCGTTAGTTTTAAAAGACGGGCATACTCCGTACGTGGATGCAGCCACTGTTGGAGGTGGGAAGTGAGGAAAGTAGGCTACAGACGGATATTTAAAGATAAACCATTGCTAACGAAAAAACGAATCTGAGCCGAGACCAGTTAATAATCCTTTGTCAACAATACAATATATGATATATATATATATATCATATAACGGTAAATTGATTAAAACAATGACAATTTTCACATAGATATTTCACTTATCTCATAACTCACTTAAAAATTAAAATATCAAAACAAATCGACGTAGTTGCATAGATGATGTTTTTATCATTAAGCTTGATAATAGATCAATTCATTCTAACATTGAAACTAACAACACAAAGTTGGCTAAAAAAAAAATTCTTTGTCGTACGATTGTAAGACGCTAACTGCACATGCGGTTGTGGCGTTCTTTTATATGGTATAATTTACATATTTTTCCATTTAAATGAGGTAGATTTTAAATTAGGAACATGCATAATGTATAATGTAACTATATGAAATCAGAAGGGATAACATGGTACAACATTTAATACATTATGATAGCTTAACGAAATGAGTCATAGAAAAAGGCAACGTAGATCATATCGGATGTTTAAGACCGCTAAAAAAGAAATACGTGAAACAAATAGTAATGATTGATACGTAGAAAGATAATTGTACAGAATTAAAGAAATTAAGTTGCAAAGGAGGAGCAAAGAGTTTACGGAACTATAGTAATTAGTAGCGTGCCTAAAAATGTTCATTTGGAAGGGATGTGGCCAAAGGCGTCTATCTTCGAATATCCAGTGGGAACACTGTATTTTTATCAATAATATTTACCTTTCTGTTCACTTATTAACTGCTATATGTAAATTTACGTACCATAATATAATATGACTGTATTCCCATTTCCTACATTAGTATGTATAATAACTATAATAAATAAATGTATAACAGACCCAGAAAATCCAGGAGGACGTATCCCCTCCTTGCCCCCTTTCAAGTAGACGCCCATGGATGTAGCAAATATGAATTATAAATACATCATAAGATCGTCTTCACTTTACCCAACTCACAGATGGAAATTTTCTGCCTTTTATTGAACTTCGTTAAAAATATGTTGAAAAACTCTTGGAGTAAAACATTTTTCTTCTACGGTATCAGTGTCCTCAAAATGTGTACCCATTTACCTGATCCAGTTTTTCCATATACTAATATGGTTACATTATGTCCTAAAGTATAATTATAATAGGAATACAAATTCAAATTTTTTTTTTTCGAATTATTAATTCGCTATATTAAATTAATTCTGTCTTTTAATTATTTATATGTGCTAGCATATTGTACCTATATAATCACCTACAACTAGTTACCATATTTTGTATACTGTGTAAAATTGCCGCTACGGCGTTTAATAAACAATAATAATAATAATTTATTCGAAAAATTGTCGTTAGATTTTTTTTGTGTAATCTTTTTGTTACATGTTGGGTACTTTATTTCAGATTACATTATAATAAATACATTTTAAAAACAATTTTTTATTAGAATTGCAAATATAAATTGAATACAAAATAACAAACAATTATTGAGAATTATTTTTTATTGAGATAAATAACACAGTCAAGAGTTAATAATTTCAGGAAAGTAAATTTCTACATTTTATATTTTTAATAGACTTTGTGGCGGATCCTGATAAACTTTCTACAAATAGATGTAAAACAGCTCTGGTGATTCCGTTCAACTATTATAATATAGCATAATATAATAATTACATATATTATAAATGTATGACTTTATTACGGTTCAATGTTAACATTGCGCACGTAGATATTATTTAATCTATGATATCAGATATGGTATAAATTTGATATAATTAGTTAAGTAATAACGCAATCAAAAATATTGCTGCAATGAGACACTCGCCTTTTGTCTTCCGTCGCAAAATATTATGTATCCTCCAGCGTTAGGTCTGAGGTTGGGTTACGGTCGATCGTAAATAATTTGGAAACATAATATTATCGTCGACGTCGTGTAAAAGTTAAGTGCAACCTAGGTCCTCGTTCTGGTTCCCCTCCGATCCGCTATCGCTGTCGTTTATTGTTTGTCCCTTGCCCGTAATATTTCGGTGTAGTGTAGGTAACCTCAGAGATCTTTAATTGTAATAATAATAATAATATTATTATTATTATTATTATTACCGTCTCGAACGATCGTAAATTTCATGGATCGTAAACTTGCCAGACGTTCATGTATTTTCGGGTTCTTGACTCCGACACGAATATTGTAAGAACTATGGTACGAGACCGCGACTGTGACTGCAACACTATTACATAGCAAACTTCCCGGCGGTAGCCCGAAAAAAACAATCCGAAATAACCACTAAACCGCACCTGACAAAACGTTACCGTGTCGGCAGTTTCCCGGGGGTTTTCAGATAATATGCGGTGACCATATTATTATTATTATTATTATTATTACTATTATATTCCGCCGTAGGCCGAAAAACTTCAAATACCGAGTTACTAAAGCGACGAAAAGAGAATATCCACATGGAGATTATTACCAGAAAGAATATTTCTTGATGTTATTGCGAAATCAAAGTAATTTATTAGAACAGTGAACCAAAATCCAAGATATGTGACGCGTTGCACATCGGATTCATCACAATAGTTACCTATTACCTAATGGACGGACAAGATATGGACGACCCGAGTATTATAGTTGTTAGCAAAACATCTTATAAACATGGGCGTACGACCGTATGTGGTATATGGGTACGAAGATAGTAATGGAACCTATAACTTCGAAAAAAGTTTTTAACAATATAAAACAAATGTATCGAAGATTCTCCAGTTCTTTAATGGTTACTACTGTAATCGTTTTACTTTCGTTCACTAGACTAGTTCCGAATCGGTTCGAAAACATAATTCGACCAAATACACAAACGGTTCACCGTTAACGATCGACAATAATTAAACCAACGATACGCGTTGTCCTATTCGGCAAACGATAATCGTCGATGAACAGACTGTGAATTGTTAAATTTAAAAATTTTTGAAAAAAATGCAATACAATTTTAACTAACACCCATCAAAAAAAAAAAAAAAAAAAAAAAAAAACCCAACCAAAATAACAAGGCAATACTATTTGTCGGCCGAAAAGTATGGTCTTTCGATTCATGTCGGTCACAGAATTACAGTGTGAATACAAAAACATTGTCGACACGTGTCACCGCGTAGGGGAATGTTTAAAAACGGTTATCGACGTGGAAATGGGTGTCGTTTTAAGACGTCGTAAAATTAAATATTTTCGTCCGTCCGAAATGTATACCTATTACCTTCTATACATAACCGTTCCATGTTAAACTCCTTTGAACACAGCAGTTACGCGATGGTAATAACGTTTTGTCGTCGTTTTGTGCAGGGGGGCACAGTTATGAGTCGCCGTTTATTTTGCCCCCCATTATATTCGAAATTACTTTTCTTTTCTTTTTTTTTTTTTTAACGATACGAAACTACGTCGAACATTCGTGTTTAGGTGGTTTTTTTTTTTATCCCGAAACCTCGTCGACGTTGAATTTCGTCGTTTTTCCGCGTCAACAATATCAATATTAATGGTAATTGTTCAACCGACAACCGGCGAGCTCGTCGGTTTACGCTTTTACTGCGTATATAAAAATATATAGTTATACGTAAGTATATACAGTTTATATTATTATTGTAAAATCAATGATATTGCCGTAAGAAAGTACGAGCACGTTAACGTTTTTATGGACAAGTTTTCAAGTTGAACGATCGACAAAAAAAAAAAAATAGCACGCCAGAAAGAACACAGCCTGGTTACATTTTCAGTGCGGTGATTGTATTCATTATTCAGTAACTTTCGGTTCAAGACGATGCGCTGGAAATCTTGTTTATTGAACGGTGTTTTTGATCATTTAGTATACCGAAATTCCACGTTTCGGATTCAAATATCTGTGCAATAACCGTGTTGTAGATTATATTGCACCGTAAGTAAAAAAAAAACACAAAAACGAGACGAAAAAATGCAGAAACTTTTTGAAGAATTTGACTTAGAACCTTCTCATTTTCTACCTACTCGAAACACACAATAGAGTATACTTACTCTGGGCTCCTGCTCTACCCTATATCCATTACTCTCCTTTTTGTAGCCCCTCCGCCAAAATAAAAATGCTTACGGCAGATTCGAGTGACATGAAATGACGTCACCCCCTTGAACAAACATACTTACTTTGTGCGTCAATACCGTTTACGAACTGTGCACATTAATTTTTAGAGCACCACGGTCACAAAGATTTTGTGAACAAACCGAAAGTACATACATTTTTTTTTGAACTATTTAATATCAATCGATGCATTTGCACATTCACAGCCTCCGTTTAATGTCGAAGACACATGATTCGTAACACAATTATTTCCCGTTTAAAAATTGTACCAGAATATTTTGAGTGAATCCATACGGTTCAATAACATAGTTCACATAGCGTGTTTGAACCATTTAAAATTCACGGTTATAAGAAATAAACTCCGACCGTCGAAAATATAAAACGCGGGAAAAGTGGCATAGATACATTATAAGACATGAGTGCGTCGTAACGGTGACACGGAAAATCGTGTGCAGAGAACATATACGTTGTAAGACGAAATTTCGACATTTTATACGAATTCGGTTACTATACAGATGTCCCTGAGAAATTATTTGCCCGTCTTTATATACGAATCGTATATGATACGACATTACAACGATGTCGAATAATCGCATTATTAAAGAACTCGACTAGTCGTATAAAAAAAGACGAATCATCCACTTGGAAGAAAATAATTTTTACCAGCGCAGAGTGTGGGCGCTATTAGTGCAAGTACATTCACAGAGTGAATATCTTCTTATTTTCTGTAATCAATTCTATAATTAGTTTGTTAGCAAACGTGTAATTATGAAACCCGTGCATTGATTCAGATATTTAATCATACACGTGCATTTAATAATGTACGTGTATTTAAAAACACGCGTGTACTCAAAAACAAACCTTTTATCCAATGGAACTTTTACTATTCATGCTGAACATCTATGATTTTATTCGAATAAAATTATGTTGAGTTTAATCAGCATATTAATATTCTACGTCACTGGGCATGATCGCGCAAGGGTCCACGTCGAAATTGCGGACATTATTATGCACACGTGTATTATTGAATACGCGTACAGTAATAAACACGCGGTTTAATACACGTGCATTCAAATATACGGTCTACCCGTGCATTTTACATATCCGTGAGTAATCGTAAGCTCTAATTTGCAGCGATCGCCTACCGGCTCCATCATTCCCTGCTACTTCATTCTTCTCAACGTCTTCATACGAATCGTAACCTTGGACCATCATAACACACCCGCACGTATTCCAATTGTTTGAAGTCCGCCCCGATACATTCTACCTTCCAAGAAAACCCCCTAACATTACAAAACCAAGCAACTCACCGTGTCTCAATCCACACGACTAATATTTATCTGGAGCATTCTTCCGTAAGGCCACTACTTCTCAAAAGATCCTATCCTTCTTTTTTCTTCCTTAACAATCGTCCACGTTTCGCTGCCATACTGCATGCAAGTATATACATGAAATGAATATAACACTAAATCGTTTATGACCATAGATGTATTGTATTTCCGAAAAAAAAAAAAAATCCTTCTGCCACCGGTAACCACGGATTACCGTCTTGCCGGACCACCCGCTTCGAGCTGTCGCGTATATCATATTCTAATGATCCGGAGACCCCGACGGCCGACCGCAAACAGCAGACCGATCACCGCTACTGCGTTTAAACGAAACGGTTACAACGAAATGTTATACAAAAACAAAAAAATATATTAATTTTTTCGTTTTGTTTAGTAAGTATCTGCTTGGTGTACATCTCTTAACTCAAGCATGTCAAACCGCGGTAAATGTGGCCCGCGACTTATTATTATGCAAATCCGGCCACATTGAATAATAAAGACAAATGAGGCCCAAATTACAAAAAAAAAACCAATAAAACCAATACACAGTAAAACTTCCGTTAACGGTCACCTCGGTGTAACGGTCATTTTTTTTTTTTGGTCCCGTTGATTGTTATGCTTCTATAGGAAACCTTAAAGGGACGGTCGCCTATCTAAACAGTGGTCATTATTTCCGGTCCCTTCGGTGGCCGTTTTATGGAAATTTTACTGCGTTGAATTTATACTTATATTTTCTATATATTTCCAATATTGTTAATTGTTATCTCAAAATTTAAAAATCCAAGACGTGTTAATATTATTATATTATATTATGTGTATCGTTTATAAATATTTGTCTATAATATTATCGATAAAAACCGATGATATTAACATTCGAAATGAATCGAATCTAAGGAACAATTTCAACGAGGTGAGTTTAACCAGTGTGTACAAATACGTGCCAGCAACGTTTTTAGAAACTTGGAAATTCGTTTGCAAGATAATGTTAATGTTCAGTAGTACATATCAGCGTGAAAAACCATTCTCATTAATGAAAATTTAACGAAAGGATATAAATCTCTTACTAGATCCTCATTGACAGACATTCATCATCTTGATTTAGTATTAAAAATGGTTTAATCTAATAACATTTCTCCCGAAGTAAAAAAGTTGGTGGCAGAAAAAACGCGGCAGATGTCTGAGGAGAAAAATGAATATGAATTGATATTTTTATTTTTCAATAGTGTACGGAAAATTCATACTGATATATGTAACAATAAAATATAAATATATTTAATTTCTCATAATAAATTCAATTATTTTAGAATTATTTATTTATTTATTTTTTTTTTTTTGTTCGTATGTTTTGGCCCGAGTAATACTTCAAGTTTGAGTCTGCCTACCTGGTAAACGTTACAAACTGTGTTGGAGATATAACCAGATAATGAAATTTAAACCAGTAAATTATGTATCCCTCTCGTGAATAACATTCAATTTTTCGTTTTTTTTTTTTTTTTATCAAAAGACTATCCAATTGGCACATATATTCTGTGCACGTCATATTCTACTAGGAAATCGTATAAATTGGTACACCTTTGAGACGTTATTTTTATGAATCTTGGACTCTTCCCGAACTCGGTTCACCCGTAATTCGTAGTAAAACTCTGCCAATTCGAGTATAGTTACATACATTTTGTTGGTATACCATATTATAAGTAATTAACGAAATGAAGATTATTTCCCGTTGAAACGACTACGGCAAACTAATATAATAATACCACTCGATAAATGACAATACGCTTTTCGCGTATTTGAATAAATTAAAAATTATTGTTTATTATTCATTATCCATTTCGCACGTGTATTTCAGTAGTACAACTATACTAACGGGTCGTCAGTAAACCCTATTACCAACTCGAAATGAACAGTAACAAATTTCAATAATCTGTTTACTAAAATATGTGGGCAGGTTACAGACTTACTATACAGTGACCAACTCGCAAAAATATTAACAGAAAACAGTTACCTAACTAAAATAATATGATAACTGTACGCCTGGTATTATTAAGAATTGACGATTTCAACAATTCGCGTAAGCAATAAATTGAAAAACTAAAAACTCTTTTAAAATAGATTAAATAGCGATGAAAACCATTAGTTACTGTGTGCATAGTTAGACACTATTAGTTCTTTCACGTTCAAGTAGTTAAAGAAATATGGTTATTTGTCAAATAAAATAAAAACAAAATTGATATCCAGGTAAATGTATCATTATTATCTGTATCTTGTCTAGATGAAGTTTTCGTCGTAACATGCCTAATTCAGAAAAAGAGTAAAACAAAATGTACCGATTAATCATGCTCCGTCAGAATACGATTACGACGAGTACTGTGCTCGGACGATCCGTTTTTTCGCGATTCATATTTAGTATTTTCACGGTGTTCAGTATTTGTTTGTGTAGCTGATTCTGCGCATCATTAATTTCGGTCACGGAAAAATAACAACTTTCAAACACTGCAAAACGTGAAATACGGAAACAATGTCAACACAAATTTGTTCGGTTTATCTAATAAAGGTAATTTTTTTTTTTTCCCGTACTATTGAGAATACTTAAAACTAAAACACAAGTACGACGCGCAGCCGTCGTGTTTAAAAATGTAGAATTTACATCAAAATATCGTCCGCGCGCCCGCCGTTAAAATAATCGCGGAACGAAAACCGGAAAACCGAAAAAAAAAATAAAAAAAAATAAAATAATTTCCAATAAAGAGTATCATCTTTTGGGGTGCGCAGTGCGTCAGTTTTGGAACGCTATTTCCCGCTCCGGTCGCAAAGTCTAAAACGCAATATTAACAATTGCGTAAATGGGTTTGTTGTGCGCCCTTTCCGTTATTAATTATCACCCCGGCCGCGGCGACCTGAACGCGACTCCCGGTGCCTTTTCGTCGTCGTCGTCGCCGTCGAAACACCGCGCGGCGCTACGGCGGAGATGGGAAACGCGAAATTTTAATTAAAATCCGTCCGCAGAGCGTGCGCAATATTATATAACGCGGTAAAAAAACAAAAATGATAATAATAACGTCCGCGCAGCTGTATGCCGCGTATACCGGACGCCCGGGGGCCGCGCCCACCGGGAGAAGAAATTATGACGATAAATGATTACGCCGAAAATTCTCCCGAACGGATTACACTGGCCGGCCGGTCCGCTGCACCGGTGTAACGCCCGTCGCGCGCGCGTGACGACCACACGACAACGGGTGCCGCGTCGACGGCGATGGCGACGGTGATGATAATGATAATAATAACGATGATAATGATAATAAATTAATAATACACGCGTGCGCGTTACGCGGCGCGGACAGGAAAGACGTGCCGCGGGAGTCGCGCCAGCGCGCGCCCGTCCGTCCAATGATCGACGACCGCTACCGCGTTACCGGTTTGTACCCGAGTCGCGGTAACGATACATTGTGCTCGTACACGCTGTAACAATAACAATACGTATTATTACGCGGGGCGATTCGTCGCCGTCGCGGAGTGTCGGGTCAAGTCGGCGGTGGGGCGGGGAGGTGGCGGCCGCGGCCGGGCGCTGGCGAGACGCACGGTAAGTCCGATCCGCGGCCGTGTTGCGCGACGACGGCGCACCGCGGTGAAATACGCGTAAGAACAATAACGCGTTCGAATGTACTATTTTATATTATTACCGTTGCGCGCGCCGAGTAAAAAAAAAAAAAAAAACAGCCCGGCCGACGTTATTGGCGTACGATCGCCGGCACGTGATTTTTGTAACGCGGGCAACGAAACTCGGGGAGTTAAACAGAAAAAAAAAATAAAAAAAATACCAAAAGTAACCCGGTAATTTATTAACGGGGTTCTCGCGCGTCGTACGCTCGCTCGTAATATCTATACTCGAGATAATATTATTATTATTATTATTATACGAACGTCGCAGTCCTATGTACGTTACGTCGGTCCGTCTCGCCACCGAACCACTATACGCTCCGACGGCATAAATCTTATTTTTTTTTTCCATTATGCGGCGGACGGACCTTTTTTTTTTATTCTGGTCTTCTCTCCTCGCCGACCCGACCCGAAACCCTTATTATATTTATTACCGCGCGCGCGTACGTACATACGCGCCGTGTTCGTTCGCGATCGACAATACTATCGTTCGGGCCGGCGGCGGCGGCGGCTAATCGATTCACGCACCGCCACCCCACCGCCCCTCCAACCCGCTCACCGCCCCTCCCGTTGTCCCCGCCGCGCCGCTGCGCGCGTCCGGCGATCCCCGGGGTCCTTAAATCCGACTACCGTGCACCGCCGCGGCGACGCGTAAACCGGTTCCGCAGTCGGATAGGGTCGGGTATTATAATAATACATTACCGTGGAAATAATAACGACGCCCGCCGTCTCTGCAATACGGTACGCTACGACCCGCACAATGTTGTGCACGAACGTGTGTACGCGGTACACGTATTACGCGGCAGTCGGTTGAAAAGTCCGGGGACGGACGAGTCCGTTTTGGAAAAAAAACTTTTTTTTTTTTTACTGTCGGACATAAAGACCGGATAACGAGTAATTGTCTCCCTATTATTGTTACTTTTACGCGCGATTTAGACAAATCCACGTGTAATAAATCAATTGTTATTTTTCAACCGTATTTATACCACATTAATAATATTAAAAAAAAAAATCGTTATCTAATGGATATTCACGTACCTACGGTTTATTATGAAACTTGTTTCGGGTATTCCGCGGAAATGTTCAAAGAAAATTTCGAAAAAATGTCCGGCTACTCTATTGACTTTCAATAGTAAGCTGGAAACTGTTATTAATTGTACTGTTGTAGTGGTATCAATATTCATATTGATTATTTTTCTAAAACGTAACTTTTTTTCAAATTAATAT